CCAACTTTCTTGATCGTCTATAATCTAAATCTTCCATCATACCAGTTCAATTTAAATTTCATAAATTTGTGATATTTTTCTTTAATTTTATCTCTTATACCATTTTTAAGCCAACCTGTTTTTTACTTGCAGTTACTCTTTTCTTTCTATAAGGAATGTTTACCTTGAATATTAAAAATATTATCTATAAAAATTGTCCACAGTTGATCACTGTCTCCAAATAATTCAGCTGCCCAATTCAAAACAGATCAAAATGACCACTTGCACCCAGATGTTCCCCAATTTTCACCCTCTCACCATTTTCTATATTAGAAGTTAACAATAAATCTAAAATAGCATTGTTTCTAGTAGTTTCCTTGACCAATTGGTGAAAAAAAAATTTTGAACAGTTTCCAAAAACCTTTCTCCCTCATGGTTTGACTCTAGCATTTCCCACTCCATATGCCTGAAATTAAAATCACCCATAATTATGACCTCATTAATAGCTGAAATCTTAATATCACTGTAAAGTTTCTCAATAATTTCATCAATATAATCTGGTGGTCTGTAACAAATTCCCACTAAAAGCCCTTTCCCTTCATATCCACTAATAGAAACCAAAATGAATTCAATCTCCTTGCTATTATCTTTGATATCCTCAACTTCAACAAGATGTAAATCACATTTTACACATAAAGCCATTCCCCCCACATTTAGTACTCTACCATTATTAAGTAACATATAACTTTGTATTTCAAAGAAATTTCCATCATAAAAATCATCTACATTTAATCATGTTTCAGTTATTCCCATTGTATCAAAATCCTCCATTCCCACAAGTGCCTCAAGAGCATCTATTTTATTTCTTATACTTCTAGCATTACAACAGTAACAATTAAGCCTTTCCTTGGAATTACTTCTATACTTATTTTCTATGCTAAACTTTTTGCTATATCTTTTTTTTTTCACTTAGTTTATCCTGGCCCTCACCACTGTCTAGTCCTAGTTTAAATATTCCCTTACATCTGAGTTAAAAGATCTTGCAAACAGGCTAGACCATACCCTATTTAAATGTAAGTTATACATTTCAAAATGCTCCCTTCTCCCTTTGAACTGATCCCACAAGTCCAACTAGCCTATCTACTCATCCTTACATATTAACCTAAGCCTAACATTTAGTCCTAGTGATCTACTCATAATTTTATCTCCATAATTAATTCTCGGCAGTATCTCTGACACAATTAAGTTATGATATCTCAAGCAGAGAATAAATCAAACTCACACTTTTAACGAAAGGAAGAGTAACTATAAGCTGTTAAATAAAAAAATCTTTGTTCATAGACAGACAAATGAGTGACAAAAAGCAAACTGAGCATCCTTAACTTTTCCAGGAAACAATTTTCTGAACTTTTTCTGGAATTATTTTCTGTGTAAATTGTTCTTTTGTGTAAGTTATTAATCAATACAAGAAAATATCAACTTAAAGCAATAATCGTTAGACTGTAAATTTTAAGAATATTTGTTAATATTGTTGTTTTGTATCTAACGTTTTTTTATGTCATATGTGTGCTGTGTCTGCAAAAAAAAAAGATTTCCCACATATTCAGAGATTCTTATTTAAAGATAGGGTAACCTTGTAAATTATCAATGTGTGTTTTTTCCTGCCTCCTAGCATATCTTGGGACTAATTAGAAAAAATTAGGAAAGGTCAATTATGAGACAGTCTTAAAAGTTTTTAATTAAAAGTGTAAGAACCTAGAGAGTTATTGGTTCAAAGTGTGTGCAAACAACTGATCTTTATTTGACTTAATTTCAAATCTGTGCTATTAGTTGGAATAATTAAAAAAAGTAATAATCAGAAACACTAATTTCAATTAATTGACTGTCTTCCTGAGTTGCAACACTAATGGATTAACTTAGCATGTAACATAACATTAAAGAACATCAAGGGACCTTTTGGTCCATCTAGCTGTCTCATCCATTAAATTAACCAAACCCAAGAAATAAAAAAATACCCTCAATGCATCCCTATCATTCAAATATTTATCAAGCTTTCCCTTAAACTTCCTTATGTCAACTGCATCCACTACATACAAAGGCAAACTGTTTCAGAGGTCAACTACAGCTTTGAAGTAATCAAAGGTAAACACTCTTGACTTAATCAAAAATAATAATGAGAAATCAAAAAAATAATACTTCCATTACTTGGGTAGTTGGAATAATCGAAAACAATAATAATTGGAAACACATATTTCAATCTTTATAAATAACATGATTGTGTTTGTCTGTCCAGAGCTTTTCTTACAATTTTCTCAATCAAATGCTACAACTCTCACATCTCTTTGTCCGAGGAGTCCGGATTGCATATTCACTTTTCCATTCAGAATCACCTTACCTGTTTTTTGCTTAATCAAACTTCTTAATGCAACAAATATACTACATAATGTCATTGTCATTACATGATGACAGGCTCCGATTTCAACTTAATTTTTTCATTTGCAAAGTATTTCACACAAATAACACCTAACCTGCATGTAATTTCCTAAAGAAAAAAAAATGAATATTACAATAAATACAATTGCTTTAGACTTTCTTGACTTATTTAGGTCTAAGATTCATATGCGAAGTTCATTCAAAAACCATATGCTTATCACTTTGTGAACACACATTCAGATGTTTCTACATTTTCAGCTACGTTTGCCTTCACTACAACTTTACATTTACATTACTTTGCAGTAATTTAGCTTTGGTTCATTTAATAGACTGCTATAGACACCTTTTAGCTACTCCTTTTCTTTAGTACAGGTTTTCTTTTTTGTATTTGTGAGTTTCTTTCTTTCAACTCATTAGACCATGTCATACACTAAATGCTCATAGCAGTTTCATACTTTGTACATTATTATTATACTTTATTGTTTAATTTATGTGTAGTTTTATTAAATAAAGTCACGTATGTGTAGTTTTATTAAATAAAGTTACATCTATCTGAGTTTGCTTGTCTGACTGTGTAAAATGTTTTCAAATAAACCAGGATTTATCGATTTAACACATAATGCCTGCAAGCTAGCACAGCTTAAATGCTGTGCATGAGAATGATAGAATAACGAAAATTAAAGCAAAGGGCATGAAAACTACCACAAGTGTTTTGCAGGTTGCAGCTAGTCAGTTAATTATTTTCATAAAATTAATCAATTTAACTTTGATTAATAAAGTATTTCACTTTACACTAATTGATGTAACTGATGCTCATAGATAAATGATATTAATTAAGTTAATTGTCAAGTTCTATAAAATTTCCTATAAATATATCAAATAAAAAGTTAAGTGTAGATAACTTGAGAATTATGTTGTCAACCAGCTTAAACATCACATCTGACGCATGGGACATAAGGCAGGTTAAGAAACTGATTGTTTATTTGACACATTGTGCTCTGTCTTTATGAAAGAAAAAGCTAATGAACAAACACTAGACTTAAAATAAAACCCAAAACTCGAGCGCTTTCAAATAGTTGACTATTCTTCTTCAGGAGAACAAAGGGTGACCTTTAGCCTGCGCAATGCAATATATAGTAGGACGTATGAGGTCATGTAAACCGGAAGTCTCAGTCGAGTTGAATCTGGTGACCAGCCAATCCCAACTCGAGCCGTTAGTCTCCCGGAAGGGGGAATTCGTTTGTAGAGAGAAAAACCAAAAAATTATTATTAATTTTCATTATGTATGAAACTTTTGATTGATATAGAAAAATAAAATACATAGGAAGATGAGAACTAGAGAAAATAATAATAATTATTATTACAGGTATTGATTTACATTATTGTAGCTGAAGCTTGAGTTGACTAAATTATCTATGGTATAACACATATACCATATAGTAAATCTATAGAGAAGTGTTTAAAAACTGTTGTGAAGGATAAAGAATTAATGGCCAGTGAAACAACCTTCTTTGAGACCTAAAGAAAAGTAACAGGATGTGTTAGTGTACAGAAATAGAAGGCTTCTTCCTGATTAGAAGAAAGGCAGAAGGAAGATAATGCATGAGTACTTAACGACAGCCTACATTTAGTAGAATTAATTTCACACCCGTGTTGTTGTTATGCAGCATTAAAGTTTATCACATATAAAAGTTGTAACATAGAATTGCCAATAAATTAAGTAACATATAAGTTTTATATTAACTGACTGACCTGAATATTTCATGCAATAACCCTAATAAGAATAGACATATTTGTATTCAAATTCAACATGCATGTAAACTCCCAATATTCAACAAACCAAAATCTGTATAAGTATCTGGTTGACAGGGTTTCAGTATGCCACTCCAGACTGCTGAATCACACTTAATATCAGCATGTTTAATTTTTTCATATCCTTGGTCACACTGAAACTGTAGTTTTTTCTCCATATTTGTATGACCCTGATTTTATTATGATGAAATGCTCTAGTTTTAGGTTGTCTGTGTAGCAGAGACCTAGAATCATTTAATGAAATATATATATATATATATATATCACTAATCTTATTATGAAAGTCAGATGCCTGCAGTTCAATTGTAGTACCTTTAAATCTAAGAAAAAATGACAAAGAGGTATGAGCCTAATTATAATTTATTATGTTTCCAATATTGACATTGCCTCAAGTTTGTCAAATAATGATGAGAAAAACATTCACTTGCTATTTAAGTATTCAGATTTTCAAAGTATTTTCTGCTAATCAACAAAATTGTTATTATTTTTTATATATATATATACACAAATGAATCATCTGAATGTTGAATAATTTTTAAGTGAACAAACCTATAATAATCTAAAATTCAGTGTGTTCTGTGTTTAAGAAAAATTCTTATGTGGTTCTTCTTCTACAACTTAATTTTATCCTAATAGTACCTTATGCTGAAACTCAATTTAAAATGTGTCAACACACACATGTAGCAAGTTAGGAATAGTGTAAAAAAAAAAAACTTTCATCTTATTTAACATTTGGAATAGACAAATGGAAGTGAGAGAATTAATAATTTTTCTACAAATATCCAGGGCAAAAACAAATTGTGAAGGTATCTTTTGTCAAAAGCTGCTTAAATCGATGAAAAGGACTGATCAAACTATAATATGCTACATGTGTTCTTTTATTCAACCTTAAAAATATGTTAAAAGTGGGTCTCATTTTATTCCCATTATTCTTATTCCTAAGAGACATAATAACAAGCCTTGAAATATAATGTACCACTTTTTTGTATTTGTTAATTACATTACCAAAACTGAAAAAACTGAACAGTTTTCATGGTGCAAGACATATAGCAAATTAAATCAGGAATCTTTTTGTGAAACTATAAATTTTATCATTTGAAAGAACCATTAAGAATTACCTGGTCTACATGATTCCAGCAAGCCAGTCCATTCTCCAAAGTTACATTTAATATTGGCATGTCTTTCATAACCTTCATTACATTCAAAAGTAAGGTTGTTTCCATTCAAATAAGGTCCTTTGTGAAGTATATTGATAGTTTCTTGTTTTAAGTCTTCTGTATAACACCGACCTAGAAATGTTTACAGAGAAAACTGAAATATCTGTTACCTTGTTAAATGACAATGTAAAAAAAACATCATTGATCACATACAGGTATATTTAAAACTCTTATTAAAAGTCTTGAAATTACAGATGGCTCATCTTACATCAGTTTTTAGAATGGATATGGTTCAGATGATGATTCTCAAGAAAATGTACTCAGGGTGTTCCCTGTTTATGGAATACCAAATAGATAATTCAACATATTAGTAAATTGGGTGAAACCTCTCTCACTACTACATAATTTATACAAGCATGGGGACTCCAAATACAGCTCTTAATGTACTGAGAAGGTGCAAAACTGTATAAAATATAATGATAACAGACTGAATGTTTGCAGTGAAGTGAAGTTTCAATTTCTCTTACACTTCACGATGCATTAGTACAGCCACCAGTTATGTCTTATTTTCATTCAGGCTTCAACACCTAGTCTTGTCTCCTTTAATCCACCTGCAACAAATCATTGCATTCATTCTTCCAAATACTGAATCTTTGAGATCAGATGACTATGCACTAGGCTAATCCCTGAATTACCACAACATCATAACCCCCCATGGAATCAATCCACATTACACACACTGCTTAAATTTATAAAGTTCCAACCACATACCACCCATGTTACAATGAAGTTAACTGTAACAAAATATAAATATTTCTCAAACGATGAATAACAAGAAAGAAATGGGTATGTGCAGCATTACATAATCAGCTGACCTGTCTACCTGTAGTACCTGAAAAAAGTTGTTAGAGAAGGTACGATTGTAACCATGTCGTTATGACCCTTTTTACAACCTACATACTTGTCTCAACTTTTGACCAATTGTAATTCATCTGATCTTATATTTTCAAACTGGACATTTTTTAGTTAAGACTGAATTCTTGATTCTTTTGGCTGTCTTGTTCTTCAACTAGCTAGTGGTGTTTTTCACACTTGAGTGTGATGAGAACTCCAAGAACTACTACCATACTGCATAAAGGAAGGATTACTATTGTCATGTAGTCTTCAGCTTATAAAGTTCTTTTTTTTTCGAGGATGTATATGCATACTTATTTATATTAACAGGTTATATCTTAATCTAAGGTTTAGTTGTCAAAGGGTTTATTTTGTAACTGAAGACTTCATAGTCACTTTAAAAGGGTTATTTTACTTTGTGTGTGTGTATATATATATATATATATATATAATACCCACATGTATACATGACAAATTAGTTTACTTAAGTTAATTTTTTCTA